AAGTCGTAACTTCCGCTCGGACAACGAAGGAAAGGCATCGAAGGAGCGTAGTTGACCGAAAAAGAAGGCAGAAAAGCTTTGGCGGTTTTTCAGGATCTTTCAATGTCCTCCCCTTCTTAGCTATTTAACAACGTGAGGTCGTGCGACGTGGGAGGAGATCATGGGGAGAAGCGACGTCGACGACATGCGGAGTTCAGCAATGGATAAGTACGAGCGATTTTTTTTTTTTGTTTGTATGCCGGGTCAACACCATTTTAATATCAAAAATCTAATTTCAATATCAAAATATATGGAGTTAATACCACCATTATTATGTCTAACCAAAAACGTATGATCATAAGTCAAACTTCAAATATTCCCACTATCACATAAATAAATCAAACTCCAAACAAAGCTTTAGTTACTCTAAAAAGTTTTTCTATTAAATAACATACTTTTCTCTAATTAGAACTTAGAATGAATATATATATATATATATATATATATATATATATTTGCAAGATGATTCTAAAATAGCATACACTTTAGATTATGGATGTATACCTATTTGATGAAAGATAATAAAAATAATAAATGATTGACTTAGAATGAGATGATGGAGCTTAAAAAGTAACAAATTTGTTTTTTAGGATGGGTTGTTAAGGGAGACAAATTGAAAGGTAAATTATGAACAAAAGTTGATAATGGATGATATGGTTAGTTTCATTAAAAGTGTTCCAATAAATGCATCGGTATTTCCTCTCTTTTTTTTTCTTCTTGTTGACAAGACAAGAGGGAGTTGAAGGTAAACTTGAATTATGGAGGTCAGTCTTAGAGTCTAAAGGCTTTCGTTTGAGTAGATCTAAAACTGAATATATGGAGTGTAATTTTAGTAATACTAGATCTAGTGGGGGAGATGTGATACATTCAAGAATTGCACATGAAATTCATTAAGAATCTAAAAGTTTACCAATGTAAGATTAGAGTATCGTAGGTGAGATTCAAGAAGTTTTTCGTTATCGAAATATTATGATAAGCAGTTACAAACTAGTTGTTTAGACACAATTAATGAAGGATCTCAAAAGTTTCGTAATAAAGCAAATGCGGAAAATAATAGAATCCCACAGCTAATGTCTAGAGAGTTCACAACGAGTTACCTTGCTCACTCACACTCAAGTCGGGCTTAGCGGGAGAAGGCCTTTAGCAAACTCAACGATGCCACGAAGACGGTGGCAACACCAATGGCCTTGAGCCACGGAAAGGTTGACGGTGACGAGGATGGCGTGAATGCTTGACTGTTAAGACTCCAATCGTAGCTTGAAAATCGTCGGTCGACGATGCTCACAAGAATCAGGACGACTCGCTCCAAATATTCTTCAACTGTGGCGTGGTCTTCAAATCCTACGTCAAAGCACGGAGATCGTAGGATATTAATGCTTCCGTCGGCGTTGAATACTAATCCCCACTCAAACTCGGGATCCGCCATGCATGCTTGGCGTTGTTGAGAGAGCACCAAAGAGAGGAGGGGAGGTGGAGGGATCTCCAAGGGGAGAGGGTGAGGCCGGCGGGTGCAAGGGAGGGGGAAGCTTGGGTTTGGGAGAAGCTAGGTTTAGTGGAATGTTAAGGGATTTAACCAAATCTGAAATTTTAATCTCAGATGTGATTAATTAGAAGGAGATTGATTCAAATTTTAAAATTCAAATAACAGGAATTAATGCATTGAATGGGGGTTTAATGGATGGGAGCCATATATGGGGGCCGGCGGTTTCATTAGAGGGAGGGAGATTTTAAACTCAAAACCTGAAATTAATTTCAAGATTTTGAATAGAAAGGGTGGGAAATTAATTTGAAATCAATTTAATTTCAAATTTGGGGAAGGGGAGTTAAGTAGCAATTAATGGGATTAATTCCCAGTAATGGGCCGGCGGCATACTAGGAGGAAGAGAGAGGGAAATCCAAGAGGAAAGGTTTCCAACTTTAGGATGATGACGTGGAAATAAGAATAAAGACTCCGACTTAATTTGATTTGAAATTAGCACTTATTCAGCAACTTTCCTAAATTGGATTTCCAAATTAGGAAAGAATTTGAAAGTTGAAATTCAAATTTCAAAATCGAAGTATGCGGAGGGAAGGATCGGACGGGTGGGAGAATTCGCCGGCAAGGTGGCCGGCCGTGGCCTTGGAAGTGGCCGGCGGCGGGTTTCTCTAGGGCGTCTGATGTGAAAACGTACATGCAAAGATGACTTTCATAATGAATTTGCACGCTTAATTTTAGAGAGAGCGAATAATTAGGTCTTTACGATGATTTGAACGACGTGATAAAACATTAAGAGCGGAAAGTTGAGCTTAGGTTGAATCACACGCGTAAGAGTTAAGTTCATATAACAATCAAGTCAATCTAATATTACGTACATGAATGGTTTTCCACAAATATCCCTAGACTAACAATGAGATTAGTTGCTATGAGAAGATCCCTCACACTACTCTTCTAATTACTAGGCATTAGCGGAGAAGTATTAACATTATCTTCATGACTATAATAAGAACCACAATCAAGGATGTAACTATGAAGATAACGAACCGGATGTTGAGTTTACCCGAAGACAAGAGAAATACGCACTCCGGCAAGGTTGTTGGAAAGTTAGAATTTTGGTGAATCTCGTGGTCAGCTGTGGGGAAATTAACAGCAAATCGAGGTCTTCCACAATGCTGGACAGCAGGGTATCTTTGCTGGCATACGTAGACAGCAAGCTGTATGACTTAGGAAATCCAAACAACAGCTATAAGAGAGCGTTGGACAGCAGTATGAGGGTTCTGGCAGCAAACTACACTGACTTTCCTTTGCTGGAATTTCCAGGACAGCAGCAATTTTGAAGCTTCAAGTTGCTGGGAAACAAATAATCCGTGCTGGAAATCTCTGGTTGCAGTATTAGTAGGTAGAAAATTGACTAGGGGCAGACCAGCCTTGGGAAGTTTCGGCCAGCAGAGAAATAAAGAGGCGGGCTCAATTCCAAAATAAAATAGGAGGTTTTGGAAAGAATTAAAGAAGTGGATGCATGAAGGGGTGAGCTCACGTTTTCTCAGAACAAGTTAAAAAAAAAGCCATGTCCCGTGTCCGTGTCATGTCGTGTCCGCGTCACCGTGTCCGTGTCCATGCATCATAGGTAGAAGTAGAGGAATGCATTGGGCTTATTGTGAGATAGAAAAGTCCCCCTCAACCTAAGGGAAAATTCTATAAGATGGTGGTTAAACCTGCAATATTTTTATGGTGCAAAAAGTTGGCCATTAAAAGAGAAGCATAATATTAAGTTAAGTGTTGCAGAGATGAGGATGCTCAGGTGGATGAGTGGCTTTACTCTTAGAGACAGGATACGAAATGAGCATATACATGAAAAGGTTGGAGTAGCTTCAGTGAAAGATAAGATTATAGAGAGTCGCCTTAGATGGTTTGGTCTCATAAAATGACGGCCTTCCAATGACCCGGTCAGGAAAGTAGATATATTAGATTTGAATTATGTTAAGAAAGGTAGACGTAGACCTAAAAAGCCTTGGTTAGAAAATATATCCATGAGATGCGGTGATTTCTTGATCTTCAACTACACATATTCAAGAGATTGCAGCTGATGGCATGAGGTAGGCAAAAGAGAGAATTTCCAGCATATATAGTGGGCCAATATGATGGATGGCATGGCAAGCAGAGGTGTTGTGGCTGGGCAAGGTCGAGTATGAAGATGGATGGATCATTAGAAACCACTTAACTTATGCTACAAGGTTATTATTTTTTTACCACTAGCAAGGGCACAAAGCAACGGACGATGGCGACAAGTCAAAGTTTAGCGAAGGAGGGCTGTGATCACAAATTTCAGCAACTATGAGAGTTGTGACTGAAGTTGCCATCGAATCTTGAACAGATTTAGAAGACAGATTTGACAAATGAACTTGATGTTGGAAGTAGTGGAAGGTTGCAGGGATGTTTGCAATAATTGCTAATTCTTGTTTATAGCCAAAACTATAGACATGATGATGACGTTATAGCGAAATTGACAACAAAATCAGAGTTGGTCTTGCAAGCAGGGAACGTGTGGACGTGAGTTCTTGGATGAATATGGTGCGGGAATGAGACGGACAATAATAGCACCAATGACAAGAACATAATTCTTTCTAGAATAGATCTTGAACATTTCGATCAATTCAACACTCCCAAAAGAAAGAAAAAGATATAAGGCCAAATATTCATTTCATCAAGCCCTCATATTCCTCAATTGGGGTTATTTATAGGCTTACGAGGCCTACTTAGACTAGTTACCCTACTAAATTAATACAAGTGGAATCACATCAAATATTCATGAACATGAGTTTTATCAATGACATATATGAAATTTAGGTATAGAAAAAGGTGAAGAAAATACTGCGCTGCACATTATCCAAATCTTTTTGACTGCCTGAAAGTTAAAATATAGATTAGAAAGCTTCACAGAACAATTTTTTTATTGGATTAATCAAAATATATGATAGATTCATTCCTAGCACAGGTCAAAGTTAGAATATTGATTTCTTAAAGTGCATGCCTCTTTATTCCACCGAAAGTATGGCATTCACTAAAAAGTAATCAGTAGGCCCAAAACGAGAAGCAAAGCACGTGAAAAAACAAGTGCAAAGTGAAGATGAGCAAAGACACAGCAACATAAAGTATGTGCTAATATATATTAACGTGCACATATTTAAACCATCATTATCCACTAAGCAGATATCAAGAGCAAAGAATCAGAATTTTGACACTGCACCGGCCATCCCCACTGAAGAATGACTAGTGAGTTTAAGGTCATTATATATTTGAAACATGACTGATGGATTGCATGTTCCACATGTCAACTGCAACAGAAAAAAATCCTTCCAGAAAAATCAAAACTTTAGACTTAAGAAGTTAACCATTAATCTCTAAGTAATCATCACTGCTGAAATATTTTGTGAGTAAAGCAGGGAAAAAAAGTAGAAAAACATGTGTTATTGAAGTAGCATACTTGTTTGATTTGAGTTCCAGTTGAAGAGCCTGAATCCCTTGCCAGACGTTGAAGGACACGAACCATTGGACCTATAAATGGATCAATCAAACTCCTTTGAACTTCTGTTAATGTTTTAACAATGAAGAGTGAAAAGCTGATCATTGAATTAGAGCCTGCTTCAAGTGACATCTGCGGGGCTGTAGCAGCAAGATTCTTTTGAATGAGATCTGCAACCCTTTGATATAATAACTTCACATCATGAGGTGTACTGGCTGCCTCAAGCGGGAAAGTATTGAAAACCATCTTCAATAAGGAGCAAAGGGACTTGCCAGCATCTAACATCTTGCTACGGATGCAGGGTTCAAGAATCTAAATAGAACCAAAAATAATAATAATTATTATTATTATTTTGCAAAGAGGTCGTTAAGATAAATACAAAAAAATGACTAGAATCGCCTGTGAGATATGATTAATATTGTTTCTGATAAAGATGCGCGGCTGCTTTTCCAAAACTTTGTTCATAACATCAAGACCCTGAGCAAGAGCAGTTGCTGGATCTTTGGGCTGAGAAGGTTGCATATTTCCCAACAGTTTCTCAAGATAATTGAACTTGACATTAGCATTTGGCCAGACCTCCAAGGCCTGTGTAAGTAACTCCAGTGCCTGCTTGTACATAAAGCTTGATTCCTTGTCCTTAGGTTCTATCACCAGTGCAACCTGCTTTGGAAAAAGGTAGTCAGCACCTAACAAAAAGAGTGCAAAACAAAAAAGAACCAGAGAGCCCTAAGCTATTTTCATGATACTTGATCATCTGAAATAATAGCATACAACACTATCAATCAAAACAAGAGGTAGCTGTTCTAATCATTCTCCGATCACAATACATGACTCAATGGAGATAGAAGTTTTGCATTTCAGATTACGCATGTCAACAAGTAAACCTTCCACTAGATCATAAAAAATCAATCTAGTTATTTTAGTCGGTTCCTTAGACCATCTGCATTTTTCCCACACATCTTCACCAAACGCTTTTATAGATACTCCTAAATATCCAGAGAAAGAAAATTTGCACTACTATATGGACCACATTTTCCAAGAGAAATTCTTTCTGGTTGATATCTTGTCATTACCATCATTAGCCTTATCCCAATTATTTGCGGGTAAACTATTTGGGGTCATTCTAATTGATATCTGTAAGCATGAAATTCTGTCACTGCAAGTTTTCATTTAGAAAAATCAGAACAAACATAATTTGAATATGTAATATTATCAATGGCAGTATCGTTTTATGAATATGATTATAGAAGCACATTGGAATAATTTTACCATGCACATGGAAAGAAGGTCGGCTACATCAAACTCTTCCTAGACCCCACATTTACGAGAGCCTTAACTACTGAGTGCAACCTTTTATGGATAGAAGTGGAAGAACAATAAACGCAAAACTTGACATTTTTTAAGCATATGATCATTATCCCTAAGTCAAATATTTTAAATCCATTTCCTAAATCCTTCTATGCCATGAGCTTCTGAATGGAGATGTCAGGTTAATTATAATCAAGATTAATAACTTGGAATAACTTCAATCCATATATAGACATCTGATTTTTTTTTTTTTAAGTAAATCAAGTTTAATTTAAGCAAAAAGAGGCTGATGCCTCTCAGTTGGAGCCAATTGCATTACACTCTTCAAGATAAACAGGTGAAATCTTGTCGCTAAAAATGTGTGGAACAACAAAAGATTAATAAATCACTAAAATGCTTTTTAAAGAAGACTGGATAATAAAACCTACTGCATCAGATGACAAAATATCAAAAGTTGCCCATATAAAAACAGTATAACACAAGACTGCTAAAGAAACATTTTCATTTCATAAGCTTTCAATAACCGATGAGGTAATAATGTGAGGAGAGATGATGTGAAACAAACATGCGAAGAGCTCGACCTTTTAGGTGAGATTTATCGATGCTAATTTGGTGGGATTCAGGGATATGACATGATTCAAATTAGTCATCTAGTTGTCTAAACCATTCCTTAAAGTAGTAAGGGTCCGAGGAACCATCAAAGGTGGGTAGACGGTAAGGTGACTCAAAGTGAGGTCGTTGTGGCTTAAACTCGGGTCTAGGTTGAAAAGTAGAGTGGGACACATAATTTGAGCGGGGATAGTCAACAGGTTTCTCCGTCATAATTCTAGTCATATTGCCCACTAGGTTAACGAAGTCATCTAAACTCTTTTGGAGTCTTATCGGGTCCATGGGTAAGTGTCAAGTGAAATCTAATTAAGATTGGGTGCTAGGTACAACACTTCTACAAAGAGAAAAACACCATTTCGACTTGCTATAAGGTGCAGGAAAATACTGGACCGCAAGCTAGAAGAAGGGTTTAAGTCACCCGGTGTTTAGGGAAGTTGCTATGGCTTGGGCAGCACCTAAATCAAAGGTTAGACTCACTTAAATACTACCAAACAGCGCAGAATTTTTATGTGGACAGCAAACTACAGCAGTTCGAAAAACAGGACAGCAAACTAGAATGATGGACGACATTATCTAAGCAATTTGGGTGGACGGTAGAGTGTGGACAGCAAGGGGATGCTTCCTAAATCTATCCCAAATGGTTACTAATTGGCGCAGGAATTAAGTGGACAGCAATTTCAGCAAAGGGTTAAGTAACCTAAGTGTTTTGGTAAGGTCTTACAGTGAAGGAAGCACCTAAACAGTGACGAAAGTTCTCTAAACGATGTCTAACAGTTGCTGGAATGGTGCGAAAAACAGCTACAAACAAAGGTTGAGTTGCCCTAAGCACTTAGTAACAATGTAAGTCCAATGACTGCACTCACACTCTAGCTAGGATGACTTAAATGCCAATGTATGGGTGCAGGAAATGCAATTACAGCAGTGAAAACTATGAAAAAATTCTAAAAATGCAATGATACGCATGCAAGTTTTAAGCTACAATGAAAAAGCTAGACCCTAGGATGTTTTTCTACACATGTCGTGCATGTCTACCATGCTCTGATACCAAGATGATGTGAAACAAACATGCGAATGGAGTTACTTTAAGAAATTAAAGAAAGCAATTTAAACAAAATAATCCAAAATAAAATTATCACTTATAACAAAGATTGATCCTTGGAGTTCTCAGTTTTTAACTTGCTTAGGCAAAGAAGAGATAGATCGATTAACCAAACAATTCAAGAAAACGCAAAGAATAATTGTACGCTACGACAATAAACAAGAATCCATGATTTAATATTGAGACCTTTCACCTTTGGAGCCCATACGCTCAACTAGTCTAGGCTTTAGTGGAAGAAGAATCTCCACATTAGAACTGAGGTCACTTTGAGGAAGAATGAGCCTAAGATCGTCGTTCTTGGATAGGTGGCCGGAGTGGTGGAGGGTGGCGGTCGTCTAATAATACAATATTCTGGCAGTTTCTGGGTGGAGGACAGCTAACACTTGTAGTCTGGAATCCAATGGAAAGGCAATACAGAGCTCTGATGCGAATGTTTGGATGCTTGCAAGGTGGCGGACAGCAGCACACAACTCCTAGCTGTCCGTGGACAGCAGTTTGGCAATTTCAGGGTGGAGGACAGCCATCCAGCTTGATCTGGACTCCTTGGACAGCAATCTGATGTTTCTGGACAGCAGCTTTTAGGCTCTGAACTTCAAGGCAGCATTTAGAACGCGTCCAGAATTCTTTGGATAGCATGTGGACAGGAGAAATTTCAGGGATTCCACCTTCCGGAGGCACAAAGCTAAGGAGGGTTCAGCCGTGAGCTAGAGGGAGAGGGAGGAATTTAGAAAACTGAAATTAATTTCAGCTTCAAGTGTTTTTTGGAGGGAGATTAATTTGAAATTTCAAATTAATTCAATAATAGCTATGGGTTATTAATGGAGGAAGTAAATAGGGGCTGATTAGTGAGCCATTAATGTAATTGAAGAGAGAGGGGCCATATAGGGCCGCCAACATGACAGGAGAGAGGAGCTTGGGTTTTAATGCGATGGGACCACAAAAATTAATCACAGTATTTTATCTAGAAATTCTCATGTTTCAATTAGAGAAGGAAGGTTCCTAAATTAAATCAATCAATTGGATTGAATTTGAATTTCAAATTCGAATTCAATTCAAATTTTAATTGATTGCATGAATTTAAGGAGGCAATTTAGGAAACTCTTGAATGGCTAATGAGCTTCAGTTTCATGATCTTGAAATTCGAATGGAGGGGGAGAAGGAGGCGGCGACAAGGTGGGAGGGGACCAGTGGCTGGGGGCTGGCCGGCGGCTGCTGGCGCGCGGAATGGGCTGCAGGCCGTACGGTGTTGGAGGGTGCAGTTCGCGGCTGGGCGACCAAAGGGGAGGGGCGTGCGACCGTGTGAGTAAGGAGAGAGGGAGGATTGGAAAACTATCGGATCCGAGAGAGCGGATCCGATCCTCCACAAGTCTGATTCAACCCAAGTCGTCGTGACGGCGATGTGATCAAGAGATTACAACAACAACAACAACAACAACAACAACATCAAGCCTTTATCCCACTACGTGGGGTCGGCTACATGAATCCTTTTTCTCCATTGTGTCCTATTAAAAGTCAAATTCTTGTTTAAATCTAATAAAGAAAGGTCATTCCTAATATTTTCTAACCAAGTCTTTTTAGGTCTACCCCTACCTTTCTTAACATAAGTCAAATCTAATACCTCTACTCTCCTAACCGGGTCATTGCAAGGCCGCCGTTTTATGTGACCAAACCATCTAAGGCAACTTTCTCTAATCTTATCTTCTACTGGAGCAACTCCAACCTTTTCACGTATATGCTCATTTCGTATCCTATCTCTAAGGGTAAAGCCACTAATCCACCTGAGCATCCTCATCTCTGCCACACTTAACTTAGTATTATGCTTCTCTTTTAAAGGCTAACATTCGGCACCATAAAGCATTGCAGGCCTCAATACCATCTACTGCAAGGATTGAAAGGAAAAATAAAAGTAGAACAAGAGATCTAGAACTCACAAAGAGATCTAGCTTCTCCTACGAACTCACTAAGAGATCATGGAGGTTTGCACTCACAAAAAGAACAAGAAAAGTCAAATTTTCATTCATCCAAAAAAACTAACTATTACATGAGAAAAGCGCCTTATAAATAGGCCTCAAAATGACAAAGAAGCAAAAGACTAAAATGCCCATTGGGCTACAATAGCTATCAAATACCCATGAGGGCAAAAACGGAAAAACATAAAATAAAAATAAACTACTACATAAAATGATGAAAATACAGATCATGATCGTGGTCGTCGATCTCCGGCATCTCCTGAAGGTACATGTGTCGAAATCGCTGCTGATGTCCCCATCAAGATATCTAACAACAACTAAGTTTTATTGACAAATGAAAACTTCAGCATATAAGCCATCGTTACATAAACAATAGAGCAAACAGGAGAAAAAAAATTATATTGAGCCAAACATTCACAAACATTGAATTCAGCAGTAACCTCGCTTAATGAATAACGAGTACAATAACCATGCTTGATAAATCCAATATTTTCTAAGACGTAACAGCACAAGCAGGGAAAACAGATCATGTAATGATAAAAAGAAGGCTACATAATGATAAAAGATGAGTATATATATAATCGAAAGGAAAAGAAGAATGGTAGATTCTCACTCTTATTAGAAAAGTGATAATCATCTCCTCCATTGCAGCATTAGGTTTATACTCTTCATCAGCTTGACCAGCAGATCCAGGTGTATCAATACATGGGATAGATGAACCAACGGGTGAAATTACACAAAGGGACTGAAGGCCTGGTTCAACCTTGACCCGCTTACTCAGGTCATCAGAAAAAGTTGAAGTGTCTACAGGACGCTTTAAATCCCCAGCAATAGGATTAGGAATAAAAGCATCGCTAACCTGGCCATGATCATCTGTTTCTAGCACAACTCTCATTTCTTTCTGCCTTTGCCTCTCCCAGGCAACAACTAAACCAGCAAGTTCAATGGCAAGGCGTCTATTTTCAACTGTTGTGTTGTAAGGCAATCCTAATCGGCTGAGAGAGTTCACCATCTGAGGAACAAATTGTGCTCTGCAACTATAAAATAGATCTGAGTGCCTGACAATTAGCTGAAAAATATGGATCATATTGGGAATTGAATGGCCCTCTTCAACAAGTATTTTCTTGGTATAACGAATCCATATTGGTACTCTACTATCACCAGGAGGAAGCCGTCGTGGGAGAGCAGGCATCAGTATATCAAGAGCCTGTTTAACTAGCAACTTATTCTCAGGTTGGCAAGTTCTTAGCAGAGCAATAAAAACCTGAAAAATCATTTTCATTCACAAAATGATCAACTTTATAAAAATTAAAAAAGATAAATCAAACCACAGAAGATAAATAAGCATCAAACGTCAAATATGATACGCTCTGTTTCCCAATCCATTGACCTATCCAATTATGATTGAGAAATCAAGGTTTTAAAAACCCAACTAAACCAACCAACTTAATCAGTTAAACCAGAAAAGAGTTTTCAGATCATTTCAAAAGCAGTACTTTATAACGAACCACCTGAAGAACCTATTGCCAAATCAGAAATCATAGAACCCAGTTCACAGCCATTTTTTGAACTTTTAGTCTCGCTCCTCAACCCTCAAGCCTAAATATAAAGATTTTATGTAACTTTTTGAGTTTCAACTTCCTTATTTTTTAATCTTATAAATTTATGTAAGAATCCTTAATGGTCTTACATGATAAGACTTATTAATGTTTTATCATTTAAAATTTTGTAAGATTATAAATGCAAAATCCTCCTTTTCCTCTTACACACACACACACACGTGGTTTAAAGTTCATTTTATAGATTGATGATATATGGCTTACCCCATTAATTCTCTCATGGATTGTTTCTTTCCACTCTGTAAGAGTGGCGAGGAATGGTAGATATGATCAAGAAGGAGATCACTTGGTGTTTGTTGTGAGCTTCCCTCTTCTATCTATCCAGATAAACTTTTCTATCCCTTTTTCTTTTCATTTTCATGTCTTATTTTGGGTTTTTACCATCACAATCAAGCTACCAATTCATTCAAATAGTGTTCAAGCAAGTTTTATCCCTATATTAAAGTTTTCTTCATCCTTAATTATCCTTCATCTCTTTCATTCTCCTGGTTTTTCCATCATTGCTTGTTATTTGGATTAGTTTCACTATCAAACTTATTTAAAATGTCATGAAATCTGGATATTTGTTTACCAACATCATATCCAAACTCCAGTTAAAGTTTTTTATGATGAAAAGTTGTATTTTAAGGTTGTGACAGTTGCTTTATTTAAAGAAATTGTAAAAAAGCATCTTGGTTATTGCATCAGGTAGATCATATAACAACCACATAATCCAAATTTCGTGAAACATAAAGTCAATTTTACATGCATTCATGATGAATCTATTTGATCAGTTGAAAAGAACCTGAAGAATAATTTTCTCAGGAGCTTGATAAGCCTCCAAGAAGTGGCAAACATTTACAAAAGCCCATTGTTTACTAGAATTATCTTCACGCTTCAGATGGTTCCAACCAAATTTTATGAGCTCCTTACGGTGATGTACAAGATCAGCTTGCAGATATTTCAAAAGTAATGTGGCGAGCTGTAGAAGTTCAATCCTCAAGGGTTCATCATATTCAGCACTAACCTATACCAGTAGACAACAATTATTATTTCTTTTATCCTAAAAAAGAAGTACCTCTATCAATAAAGAAAGTTTTACAATCGCAATATCTAAAAGCAACCAAACATTATATAAGCAACCACCTCTTCAGGAGGATCAAGAAGCTTTTCAACAATTGTTTTGATTACAGCAGCGTCAACTACTTCCCAGCTTTGTTCATTTTGAAATGTATGAGCTAACATGGGAAGAATCAAAATTTGCATGGCAATGACCAAGTGATCTTGACCATATAACTTTGACTGGAAGACATTCAAGAAGTGCAAAAGAATTACTTTCTTCAAGCTTGGTGGATGTCCTTCAGCAACCTGAAGCCCAATACTATCAATATACTCCTTATGAAAGCAAATGTTGATACAGAAAAAGGAAAATGATAAAAATGAAAAGTAAGCATTGTAAAAGATGACTTTATAAAAATATCTAAAACCATACTTACCTCGATAATATAGAATTCCTTTAGGAACGTATAATCTATGCGACTGTGGAACAAGAAAATTGATAGCATTTCAAACAAAGCTCCAACTTCCGACTTATCATGCCTTAAATAATTGAGAAAGCATTTGACAAGCCATTTGCTTTCCTTGACCTGCTTGTTTAAGAAAAAGCAAAATAGTTGATAATATGATGAATACAATAATCAAAGATTTTCTATGGTTTACACTCAACAGCATATCCCCAATAACGAAGCATTTCTAAAAGCCATCTGTTTAAATAATGATAAGGTGAACCTCAGAAGGTTTCAAATGGAATCAATAATTTAAATAAAATATATAAAAAGCATACAATGTGGTCAAAGAAATCACATTCAAAAGACGATAAGCAAAGCAGAAAGCTAGAAAGGTTACATGTACTGCCAGACTAACCTCAAGTAAACTTAATTCCTGCTCATTCTGTAACCTTGCAACCCTGGCTGGTGACTTCCAAGCTCGCAATAAAGTTTCAAACACAGTTCTATTGGTATAAAGCCAAGCAGGCATCAATTTAACCAAAGTTGAGATAATATAAAGTCCATGAAAGTAGCCATCAGAGCTTGCTCCCAAGTTCGTTGATGAAGCAGAAAAACTTTCTGAAATGGGATTATTAAACGCTTCTTCAGTCATAGCAGAACATTTTTGACTAGAAGATCCATCTGCTGGTGAAGAAAATTGTGGAAATGCATTGGAGATTATCTTTTGTGGTGACCTGGCCAGCTCTTCTCTCAAGGGTTGACCTGCATCTGAGCAAATTATATACATGAACCTGAAAGAATCAAAGAATGTGGATCACTAACATTTCATCTTCTAGCGCCTCCTATTTCCTATGGTATATCATATGCTTACCGCCTAAAATATTTTGGGCGATCTAATCGTGCAAGAAAGTAATCAACAGCTTCTGATGCATAACGATTCAAAAATTTGGCGAGTGGAATCCGATATGGACTGTTAATTTCACTATAAAACTGTCCCTGGGGAAGTGCTCCCTCCAGGTCAATTACAATTGTGACAAGATCATCAAGAAACTTCCCAGCAGCTGGTGGGAGTAGATGAAAAAGATCAATCATGGCTGCAGCAACCTTTGGTTCATCCCCAGCCTTCCAAGACTTCTGAGTTTGAGCAAGCTTTTCAGGTTCTAACCATTTTTTCAAATGATCCAATAGCTTAACGCCCAAAGTGACATTGAACCAGTTTGATAGAAGCTCAAGTAAACGGGCCAATCCTTGGAGCAAAGGCATGGTAAGTGATCTTGTATGTGCCAAGTTAACTAAAATAGGCCTTAAACTGCTCTGCAAAAGATCCTTTGGCATCTTCTGTTGCTGGATTACCTGAAAGTATTGCATAGCTACATATATAACGGTCCGAAATAGATAAATGTGTACATGCACGTTGGCTCAAGAAAAAAAATGGCACGAATGCATAAATCCCGCTTTGCAGCCGTAGGATTCTATTCCCCTTAAGTCAAATTGTAGTTAACCAGATTTCCCCTGAGGGTAGTGTCAGGGTTTAAAGATCTAGGGTCCTTACTTCCTTTAAGCGCAAGCACTCAAAGTTAATTACCCCTCTTAACACGTAAGAGAGAACTCTCGATTAACGATGAATATATTTTAGGTAATTTGGTCTCAATAGTTGGAAAATGTAGGTAAACCCGATCAAGATCCCATGATTCCGTCGTCCCGGGTATACAGTAGATTTCAGTCTACCAACACTAACAATCATTAATCGTAGTATCCAGGAAATCTGATTAGCAACCATGGGTTGCCTCCTCTCAGGGATCCCGAGTAGACTGAAGTGGTTAAGTGTGGGTTTTAATTTAGTTTAGTTTGGGTTGTTTTTTTTTTTTTTTTTTTTTTTTTTGATTTAGGATTTACATCTGTTAGAATACCCATAAATTTATTTAGTTTGGGATTTATGACTTCATTTAAAAGTAACCCAGGAGTTTGGATTGGAGCGGGACTTATGACTTCCTTAGGAAGTAGCCCAGAAGTTTAGATTTAGATTAAAACTTAAGGCTTTCATAGAAAGTAGCCCGGGGATTTAAATTTAAAATTGAAGTTCATTACTTTATTTATGAGTTGACCAAGGATGGACCTTACAACCTAACTCTACAGCGAGGATGCCCGGAGGTTTTAATTATTTGGGTAGAACTTATGGCTTCCCTTAGGAAGTAGCCTAAAAAAAGAGGGACTTACAATTTATTTATTTATTTATTTATTTTTACTTACAATTTAATGCTATTAGACTAAGATGCCCAAAAGTTTAGATTTAATTGTTTAGGTTTTAGGCTCATTGCAACTTATTTAAAAATTTTCCTAAATCATGGGTCTTACGACTTCACTTAGACGTAGCCCGATAACGGGTCTTAGAATCTAATCTTATAGACTAGGATGCCCAAAGACTTTAATCATTCGGGTAGGAGATCCTACGATAGCAATTCCACATGCTTTCAACAAAGGAATCATAATTACTATATTTCAAAGCATTATTTAAAGATGAAATTCTCTCTTGAGGCTTTTGCCTTAATTTTTTAACAAGAGTTGTCCTTATGACTAGATTTGAGTAGGGACTTATGACCTCTACTAAGGGTAATCCGAATATTTCAGCTGGATAAGTCTAGTGCTTCCTTAGAAATTGCCCAATGATGGGTCTTACGATCTAGCATGTGGCCTGCGTTGTGGGTCTTACAACTAAGCCCTATAGACTAGGATGCCCAGGTGAGCGGTCTAGGGTTATGTTATTACTTAAATATTTCCCTCAGTGGTCGGACTTACAACTTTTATTAAAAGTTTCCAATGTTTTAATTAGCGTTTAGGGATTAGATCAATTTCTACCTAAAATTTTCCCCTAAAGTCCAGCTTACAGCTTTCCTTTGAAAGTTACCGGGTAGTGGGTCTTACAATCAAATTCTTATAAATAAGGCTGCCCAAAGGTTTTGAATTTGATTGTTTGAGTAGACAATAGTTGCTTGTACAATGCTTGGAAATCTATTCCATACTTGTTTGAGTTAATCTGAGTTTGTGATTTTGATACTTCCGAGTTTTGACACTGGGTTAGTATTTTAGTTGTTTTGTGTTCGTAATATTTTTCCTACTCCAGTAGTCTACTACTCTACCCATTTTTTAGCATCGTTAATCTATTAGTTTTTTCGTACTTAGCTTTTCTTGCTTTATAGTACTTTTTTCTACCTACAATAGCCTAAATTTATCAGCATTCATTCAATTTATTTATGATGTACTGACTTTCATTTGTTTGTTTGTAGGTAAGTGGCACTTGCAGCTATTTAGGGAGCTCGCAGATAGTTGCAGGAGCTCGAAACCATAAGGGATACAGTTATCGGGGTGCTAGCAGAGTGATGTTTTGTACTCGTTTGAGTTGATAGAGTTGTTTGTACAGTGTTGAGATAGTTTGTTAAGTGTTTTGGAGAGTTGGAAAGCAATATTGTATCTATCAATTAGTGGAACTTCCCCCCTCCTCCCCTTCTTTTTTTTAATGCATTTTTATTTTATAATTATTCAATTGATTGATAAATTAATTAACAAATTAATCAAATTTAAATTCAAAGCCCTCTAATTTTAAAACTCAAATTTTTTAAAAGCCCTCGGATTTGATATGCTCTCAAATTTTAAACTTATTCTTGATTTTTTTAATCAATCAATAAATTTTAAATTTAATTTATTTTAATTAATGAATTTTAATCTATTAATTAATTGATTAATTAAAATTCAAATTGAATTGCTCTCCAATTATTTCAAAAAAAGTTAAATAATTTTTCAAGAAATTTTGATAGCCTTTTTTTTTCTTCCTTTCCTTCCTTTTTCTTCTTTTTTTTTATAATATATATAATATTATATTATTTTTAATATAACAATATAATATATATAACATTATATTATCATATTATATTATATATAATATAATAAAGGGAGAGAGGGAGCCCAATCGGGTTAGGGTCAGAGGAGCACAGTCGGACAGCCACTAAGGAGTCGAAGGAGCAACCTGTGCAATCTCTACTCCTCCCACGAAGCAATGAAGTCAGACGGCAAGAAGGGACCCGAACGAAGCGAAGTTGAACGACAACAAAGGAGTCGAAGGGACGACGCGTGCAATCTCTGTACCTCTTGCGAAGGAACGAAGTTGGACGACACTGAAGGGGTCGAAGTCGAACAACCATGAAGGAGCGGCGCATGCGACCTCTGCGAACCAAAGCCGAACAGCGACGATGGAGCAGAAGGAGCGGCGTGTGCAATCTCTTCGCCTCCTGCGAAGAAACAAATTTGAACAGCAACGACGAAAAGAGAAGATGAAAGGCAAACTCTAAACCGCTTTCTTCTTTACTTCCCGTCGAACAGATGTATAGCGAGAATCCATGCCAATGAGCGGTCTTTGGGGAGGTTTTATACAGTGTGGGAAGTTATAGGTGCGAAGGAGTGTGTCATTTGGAGAGATCGTACAAGGTGGGGCTGGCTCGGAGGCAAGTTCGTACTTTGCATCTCTTCAAAATTTTTTTTTTTAAGTCAACAATGCATTTATGTGGCATAAATTTGCATTAATAATATTTCAGCAGCTCGTATATGTAATTGAACTGCAGGGTTGTTATCGTGGCACACAAACAATAAATGATGAAAAATGCACAAGAACCTGTCGAAGCCCTTCTTTAGCAACAGCAACAATTTCTGGGGTACGACAAGTCAGAGACTTGAAAAACATTGATATGATTTTTGCACGCAGTTCAGCATGGTTTGGTGTTTTAAGATCTGTCCAAGCCATCGCAGTGCAAAGTAGCTCAATGCATGCAGTACGAAGCTTGTTTAACGTGGAAACCACTTTTGGGTTCATAAGCTTTGTAACCCATACAGTTTCATCAGCTTCAGCAATTTGCAGAGCATCTTGCAAGAAATTGACAAGCTCAGGAGTCAGCTTAAGTAGAGGCGGTCTCAAGGCAAGGCAGAAGTTCAAAGCTGTAACTGTCCCAACCTGTGTGCAGTAAGTAGAAAAGTTGGATTCCAATAAGGAAAACATGTTTGCCCAAAATTGCATTACACTTATGCTTGTATACCTGCTGTTCTACGTTCTTAGAACGTAATGACCTCGTTATCAAAGGCTGAAGTAGGGGGGGATACAGAGGCTCAAGCAACTCAGAGACCTCACTGCCAGTTCTACTAGCCAAAAGAGATAAGCATGACTGCACAGTTCTCCTAACAACAATAGATGCATTAGGATTGAAAAGTTCGCAAGAAAGAAATTCAATAACTCCCTGAAAACTCTGTTTGCGAGGCTCATTGTTTGCTTCATCAACATTGTTCACAACACGAAGGACCTGCGTAAGCACCTGACTCGTCTCTTCCTGCTCTTTGTTAGCATGCATTGGCAACCTTTTAAGCACAAATACAAGGCCACGAACTATCCGCACTTGGAAAATGCATAAGGTCTCAACAGAAACTTTACCGACTAAAGCACCAAGCCCCATGACACCACCCATTTGAGCTTGCCAAGTACTTCCATAGCAACAATGCAATAGGCGAGGCAAAAGCTGTTCAAAGACAGGGATCCGAACACCTGGGGGTGGTGAGTACACTGGGTTAAGAGATGGACTAGAGACCATCATTGGAGTAGCAGGACCACTCCTAGAACTTGGAAGACCTGCATGTTTTGCTCGAGCAAGGAATAGAAGTGCTTCAGCAAAGACATTTAATACTTTAAGAGCAGCCTTAGCATGAAGCCTATTTTCATCAGCAAGAACCTCCACCAATGCATCCAAAAAAATAAGTGGATCCAATTCCTTTAAACTGGAAGTACTATTTCTTGATCTGGAATTTAGATTGACATTCGTTGGAAGCATGGAATTTCCAGGATAGTCCACATGAAAAAGCATAGCAAAGTGGCGACAGATATTGACAACATATTCATCATTCAAATCTTGGAGGTCAGGGTCTGCACTTGCAGCAATGGTGGTCATAATGAGCGTTTTAAAAACAGATTTCTCAGCCATAAGCTGAGTCTTTGTCTTAACTCCCAAATCAACCTGATAACCAAAGCTGTAAGCAAACTAAGGATTGTCTAAACTAGCACAAGCAGAATGTCAAAAATAAAAAATAAACTGCCATTAGGTACATTGGCTATCATGCTGAAACTTCTACAGACCAAAAAAAAGCTTTGTAAAGCAGAGTGAAACGATCAATACAAGTAATGAAGGCCAAGTGTGCAAGCAGGAGGATGCTTTGAAATTGTGGAGAACTTCATGCACATAACACATCATCACACCTTTGAACGCACAAATGCAGACGGAACTCTGCACAATCACACAGATGAATACACATACATCATAAGAACAAGCAAGCACAAAATTATCATGCAAGCATGCCCACAATAACACATGCACTTGAATGGAAATGAAAATGCATAATTCATTTAATTTATAGCTACTGTGGTTTGAGAAACTCAATGCATAGGTGACATGATAAATGCAACAAAAAATAAGAACTGTGCAAATGGGAGGGGATGTGGTGGGGTGGAACAGTACACTTGTGTTAATGATGGGAAAAGAAAGGATGTATAAAACAGCATAGAATTCCATCAACCTTCATATCTGCAGTATCTGTACGCCGCAACGAAGGATCCACTGCAGAAACCAATAATGTTCCCAGTAGAGTAGGAGTCACACCTTCGACCATTATGTTACCCTGAAGATTCAACAGAGACACCAAGCATACCCTAAGAAACTTAAGCGCCTGTCTTCTGTAAAAAGAATCCATCCCACTACCATGATTCATAACTGCAGCTACAGCAAGATAGATGCACCTGTCAAGGGGTACTAAAAATGGGGTTGAAGGCGCAAATGTTAGTATAAGACGGAGGCCATGCTCTGGATTCTCTTTGCACTCAAGCATGAGGGGTTCCTTCAGGAATCGTCTGTTTCGTCCACCTAACTTGCCGAGTAATTGCAAAGCTTTTGTTCCCCACGGGTATGGAAGAGGCCTTAAATGAGACCATAAAGCAAGTATAGCATCAGACATAACACTTGCCATACTAGGCTCCAAAAAGTCTGGATTCAAACTGTCAATCCAGAACTCTAGTGTCCGGAGTCCCAAACTCACAAGATCATCATTGCCTTTTAGTGCTAGAACAAGAGGCTTCATAAGGCGAGGAAGGAGTGGAAGCAATGAGCTTAAACGAGCTGGCAAGGTTAGGCAAAGCTCCAATACAAGATCCCTCATGTCTTCACCACTGGGTCCCTCAATCATAGCTAGCAGCATATTGAGACATGGTTGCAGAGAAGGTATCAGATCTCGCAAAAGTGTATCAAACTTTCCACCATTTAGTGATCTGAACATACTTCGAAGCAGTTGCATATAACCAAGAGGTTTTTCAACTTCAATAGCATTCTTCATGCATATCTCAAATATAACAGGAATATGGGGCTGCAGCATGCGCTCACATTCTGCTGGTGATTTAGCAACAGATACAAATAGGTATCTAAAAAGTTGCAAAACAAGTTTTCCAGCTGGGGAATCTGGATGCTTAAGAGCATCAAGTTTGCTACTAGCAAGATAATTAACCATAACATCTGCCAAGGGCCGGAGGACCTTGGGATTTTGGATTAGGTTGGCAAATACATGTAGTAACTGTATGTTAGTAACCATGCAGTCAAAGAGTTCAGGCATTCGCAATGCAAACATGTCCATAAGGTCCCGAGCTTCCATTATAGCTAAAGCTTGTGAAAAACATTGCAGCATTTCCCTTTCCTCCTCTTTCTCTTTGAAAAGAGCTAAGCAATGCACACCACTCTTCAAAATACCAGATGCTTTTCTTACCTAATAAAATTGAATTCAGATGGACAGGATGAACTGGAAAACGGAAAAGATGAAATACAGATAAATCTGAAAGGTTATACCTCATCTTCTCTCATTCCTTTAAATCCTTGTGGAAGCGAGGAATTAGAAGATGGTGACACTTGCACTTGCTGAAGGTTCCCCTGTGCAGGTGATACCTGATGAAATAACATGAGAAAGATAAGTTACATCCATAATAAAAAAGCAACTCCCTATCATTGTATAAATTTAACCTGATTTTGAGGGCGAGGTAGATGAGCATTGGTAATGCTCCAAATTATGGTCTTCATTCCTGCAATATAAGCCGATGAGCCGATCATAATACAGTGGCTAGGAAATGAATGAAACCGAAGGTTTTGAAATCCTAGCAGAATTGTGACAAATCATGCTCAACAGACAGAAGGTTTTCAGAATATAATTAAAAATATGCAGGTATTTCGTGGTGGATTTTTTTTTTTTTTTTTGTTTAATTTCCATGCAATGAAAGGTGCGATCCGACATTAGTTTTCAGTCAAACATGAAAAGAAAATACAAAATGAAGGTTTCTGATTAAAGCATAATTTTGGTGAAATTCTCAGGGTTCAATAACCGTTTTAAAACCTAATTAATGGTGGCATCTGAAATATCTTGGAAAATTGGTAATTATTGCAAAAAGCTTCAATGCTTAAATGGCACAATTGATCAGGGAGAGGTGAGATGGCATAGTGCCCCTGCTCTACCAGCAATGCATATGATATCATGTACCCAGGAAAATGGGTCTTTTCCATCAATACAGTTAGTAACTTAAGGAAAATCCAAACAAAGTTTTCTTTACTTTGACAATCAATTTTCCAGGTAACATTCTCAATTCATTCTTATTTCCCTCCATCTTAAAAAGTAAATTTTCTTGATATAATGAGTTGAGGAAAACTATCATAATTGATTAGAAAAGCGAAAAACCTTCTGTCCAAAATTCCATTATTATAAGGTGTTGGTCTTCCGATAAATGCAATCCTAATTGATTTACTAAACAAGTTTCTGTTAGACCGGTCTATTGGACCGGTCTAGCCGGTCCTACGGGACCGACCCGTGCACTAATGGCGGAGGACTTCCGCCTCCCTGTACAAGTCATGTGAGCCGCCAAAGCCAATAGAGCATTTTAGGAAGGATTTTTGAGGGATTTGGGAGGAAAATTTGAATGTAGGGACTGTTTAGGGATTTCCGTTTGATTTGTATGCATTAAATACTTTGTTTTCCTAGGGTTAGGGCATCTTTAATTTGGCTGTCGTCTAGAGATTTGGGAGAGATCAATCCTCCTCTCGAAAAGAGGATCAATTGTACTTGATATTTTATGTTTCCCTTTCATCAAATAATACAAATCATCTATTGTTTTTGTGGTTTTGTGCGGATTTTTTTGGAGGATTTTCATTGCTTTCTGAAGATTGATAGAAAAAACTTGAGATCTATAAATGTTTCCTATCAAATTGGTATCAGAGCACATCGATCTAAGGGGAACAATGGCCGGAAGGATAATGAAAGTTTTTGAGGGAGAACTTGGGCAACTCAAAGCAGATTTTGAGAAGAAGATGGCTGATTTTCGAAATCAGATCGCATCGGTCAATGAAAGGATGGAGGAAAAGTTCGCTGTAGTGGAAGACATGTTGAAGAAATTGCTTGAAGCTGAAACCAAACCGGTGACATCGGAAGCAAAGGAAACTACAGGCGGCCATGGAAAAGATGGGACACTAACATGTTTAGGGGAAGGGAAAATTCAAAAGTGGAGACCCTGGAGGGAGAAGACGGAATGCCTTCTTTAGAACCACTTTCTAAGGTGGAGATGAGCATTGGCTACGCAAGAAGGGGTGTTGAATTTGTAAGAATATGGGATGATTTGGAGCGCCAGGGTGCTGATTTTGAAAGAAGAAGAGGGGATTTTGATGAAGGGTTTGGGTATGATCGCTGGAGGGAAGATCATGACAATCGAGGAGCACCTCCTCTTCGAAGAATAGGAGATTATGGAGGATTTAAGGGAAACGGGTGTGACCCAAGGGTGAGAAAATTGAATATGTCAATATTTGAAGGGGGGATGTAGGGTGGATCTACAAGGTTGAAAGATACTTCGCTGTCAATGGATTGACGGAGGAGAGACTGACGGCAGCAGGCCTATGTTTGGAAGGAAAAGCTTTGGCTTGGTACCGATGGAGGGATATGCGATGACCCATACGAAGTTGGAGGGAGTTCAAGGATTGTTTGAAAGAACGTTTCCGAACTGACAGGAAAGGAGACTTCTACGAGTAGTTCTTCGCCTTGATGCTGGATGGTTCAGTGATAAAGTATCGGGAGAGGTTTGAGTACCTTGCTAGCCGATTGGACCGCCTTTTTGAGATAGTGCTAGAGGGGAACTTCATGAAGGGAATGACACCATAGATCCGGGCAGCGGTTAGAGTAATGAGGCCTCGTGACTTGGGAGAGGCTATGGAGCTAGCTCAATTGGTAGACGATCAGAGGCACCTGGAGAGAGAGGTAGCAGCTCAAGAGGCCCGTACAAGATGACCACCACCTTTTTAGCAAGTAAGGAGCCAACACTGGATACTCTTAGGGAGACTTCTAAAGAGAAGACTGCTGGAGGAAAACCTAGGAACAACTTCAAGAAGCTCATAGAAACAAAATTACTGGAGAAGATGGCGAAGGGGATCTGTTTCAGATGTGACGAGAAATATACGCCAGAGCACAGATGTAAGAATCAAACTCTACAGGTTCTTACCGTTTGTGATGAAGAAGGAATGGAGGGTGTCGTCTTTCCACCTTACGGACAAGGTGGATCTTTGGGAGGGGAGTATTGTTATATCAGTCTATTGGACCGGTCCAGCCGATCCTATAGGACTGGCCCGTGCGCAAAATGGCGGAGGACTTTCGCCACCCTGTACGAGCCGCGTGAGCCGCCAAAGCCAACGGAGTATTTTAAAAAGGATTTTTGAGGGATTTGGGAGGAAAATTTGAATGTAGATATTGTTTAGGGATTTCCTTTTGATTTGTATGCATTAAATACGTTGTTTTCCTAGGGTTAGGGCATCTTGAATTTGGCTGAAATTTGAGATCTCCTAGATTTAAGTTTTCTTTTGGGCTCTAACGGCGTATAGAGATTTGGGAGAGATCGATCCTCCTCTCGAATAGAGGATCAATTGTATCTTGCTATTTTCCGTTTCCCTTTCATCAAATAATACAGATTATCTACTGTTTTTGTGGTTTTGTGCGGATTTTTTTTAGGATTTTCGCTGTTTTCCAAAGATTCATAGGAAAAACTTGAGATCTACAAGTGTTTCCTATCAGTTTCATTCCAGATACACTGCCTCATTAGCATCGACTTGCATTTCTTCAATTACTTCCATTAAAAGAAGTTGATCATAAACTTTAAAGACAGAGAAGCAATAAAAACATAATTATGCATCAACAAAGGCAGCATTCTGCATAAAATCCAACTCTATAATGTTTTGGACAATAATCACAGCATAAACACTACTGTGATGCTCAACAGACATTACAAAGCACCAGTACCCCTAGTATAAGAAGAATACTGATTGTGGAACTTATATGCACACAAGATCATAGTTGAACCAATTTATGTAAACCAAAAAAGAAGCAAAAATAGTCTGTTACAGCTCAGAGCAATGCTAAAGCAAAATTCAATATCATTATGAATGTGTGTGGCTTAAACATTTTCTCATAGTTTAATAGTTTCCACTACATAATGAGGTGTAAAAATCAAGCTGCTATTAACATTGCTAAAAATTATATATACTGTGATAGTACTAAGCATATTGAGATTGATAGATACTTTACAAAGAAAAAATTGAACAAGAAATCATCCAAGCTAACTACACTCTAATATTACTTCAAAATGTTGATATCCTTACTAAAGCTCATAACCAATCACAATTTGACAACATACATTTCCAGCTTGAGTGGGAAGCCTGAAAATCCTAAAATTAGTTCCTCAATTACTGCAGCAATAAATTCAAAAAACTAACTAATTCCACGTAAGCTCCTGATAGGCCACAACTCTCGCAGAAATCAATTCAACACTCTGGGTGTTGCTAGCTAATCGTCGGGCCAGCTAAACCAACCGCTGCTAGTCTATTACCTTTCTGCAAGTGCCAACCCGCTCACCAGTCTATTCCATCCCTCTTCAAGCTGAAGGGTACCTGGTGGCAGTGCACCAGCTAATCTCCTCGCAGTCACAACTTCCAGTCATTTTATTCCCTATTGTCACGCCATCCTTACGAGTTTGTCCGCCAGCCCTTTTTTCGTAAAGTGAATAGATTTATTCCTTGCATTCTTGCCATGCGTTATTATAAATTGAATAGGCAAATTTCTTCCTTATTTTACCCCTCATTTATGTGGCCAATTACGGCCTTAAATAATTACCTTGCTATCTTTTTATTTTAGAAGAGCGTGTATCTCTCAAAAATTATATCCCTTCGAATTTTTAATAAAAATAATGTACTACTGTGGCCTTGCACTTTCCAACACTTCTCGATTAATATGGAATGCTGCATCAAACACTCAAAGACAACAAACAATTTGGCATTACCACATTTTTTTAAACTGCACACAAAATAGGAAAATACTGGAGATCAGAGAAAGTTTAGAACTATAGAAATTTTAAAAAAGAACATTTCATTTAAAAACATGGATTTAGCGTTAAAATGATCTACATACTGATGTTGGAAACAATAATAAAGCTGCCCAATTAAATCCACAAAATGTTTTACTTGTATGAAAAAACATTTGCTAAAAAATTCTCAGAAAGATGCGTTAATCAAAATGATTAAGAGTAAGAGCAACAAGTGTTGAGTGGAATAAAGTTCAAGTTCTCATAGCCATAAGCTTGACTATACTATTGAATAATTCTGACATCTAACAGACAACTACAACTTACTAACTTTAGGAAATACTAAGAAAGGAAAATTCGAGCAAAAAAGTAAATGTGAGAACAAACCTAGGGAACAGAAAAAATTAAATGTCATGGATCATGCTAAATTGATGTAGTAAGTTATTACTCCAGTACAAGAAAAAAGAACTATCAAATAATTGATATTCAATTTTCGCAGCAAAAAAAAAGGATAATATTCAGTTGTGCTTTGTGCATAATAGTGAGGTGCTATGAAGCCTGTAGGTTTACTCTAATGCCTGGGTTGCAAATAGGCTGTTCTACAATTCACTTTCGTGAGCGTCAGAGCCCTTTCGATCTCAAGTCTGTTTTGCAACAGTTCACGCAAGACTGGTTACAGAAGAGGATCAAAAGTTCATAAAATGGCAGTATGAAACATCTCCTTTATCCGACGAGATGAAAACTGGTTTAAATAAAATAGAACCAGCAGATAGCCCAAATTTTAGAACATGCATATAAACAAAAAATACAAAGTGAAACTCGTGATGGAGAACTAGCAATTATGCATGCTAAACTTAATCCTTGTGATAAACTGCATGAATGGAATATGCCTTAATAGTAAATTTAACCAGGAAAAACATATTACCCATAATCAAAGTCTTGATTAAGTTTTTGTAATCATTGACTTCTTTCGAGTACTCGAGTGGGGGTTGTAAGTTGAGAACAGCCTGTGAAAAGGTATCAACCAATCAGATTAAGCTTGTGGAAAAAAGGTATTAACTGTTTCGATTAAGAAGAAAAAAGATAATAAACTAATGGAAAGAACGCAGCAAAGAGAGTGGATCAAGATTTGTGCAGACAAATTCTGACAAACAAGATAAAGCAATTCGTAATATAGATGATTTATGCAGACAAATTCTGACAGCGTAAAATAAAAGGTAAATTAAATACGCTTGGGATCCATAACATCTCACTCTCTAGCACGCTTTAATGTTACATGTATGTTGCAAAGGTTAGTTTAAGTCATCTATTAGGTGCCTAAAGAGTAACGATAATTAGGATCAGATAATTAATTAGGTGTTGCTCACAAGACTGACACTACACTATTGCAATCATATTTTTCAAAAAATAACTTTCTAAAGAAAAATAATCTCCCATTTTTATATGAGTGGAGAGAGCGAAAGAGAGAGTATACAGAGAGAAAGAAAGAGTATAGAGAGAGAGAGAGAGTTAGGGCCCCAGCGCGAGGTATAGAAGGAAAATTGGCAACAGAGAGGGAGGAATTGAGGGGGAGAGAGAGAGAAAGAGAGACTAAGAAGTATGGATACCTCCTATGATCTAATGCATTAAAATCTGCATCGCTTAACATTTCATAATTTTGTTAAAAAAAATAAAATCAAGATGTATGATTTATACACTTGATTGATGAGGTGTACATGGCATATGCTAACAACCATTACATTTAGTCCTCCAAAGCATGAAATCTCTCATTTATTGTAACAACTTATAGCCAGTATAAAGGTTGTTTCACTGCATTGACTATCACCACTTGAACTTTATGATTTATAACATGTGTCACTAAAAGAGGTAAACAAATTATATTGATTGTTAATGAAAAACACAAATCCCTCTTTGAACATGGAAGTTCATTTTCCAAGAGGTAGATTAGATTTTATTTAATTAGATTTCCCCTAATGATGCGCCATATTTTAACTAGACTTGGGTAGAGACTTCCTGGGGGTACAACCAACCAAAGTTAATTGGTCCTCCCACTCACGGGAGAGCACACTAGATTAAAGATAATAGCTTAGGCTTTAGGTTAAGTTTAATGTTTACATTTCAATTGAATTGATGAGGAATGGTTAGTGAAATGAAAGTTTGCCTTGGCAAAATCCCATGATTTCATCATCCACGTTATACCAACAAAACTAATTCACCAATATCAACAAGTAATAAATGTAGAGAACAAGATTAGCAACAATGGATCGACTCTTCGGTAACATTAGTAGACTAGGGTGAATATATGAGTTTTGACTTCAATTGATTTAGTGTGCTTGTTCGTGATGATGGTGAGCAGACTTTTGGTGATATTAATGACAAGGAAAGGCTATAGATCTTACGTTTGATATTTAGAGAAGCGCTTTAAAGTTTATGGTGGATTGATAAGGGGTCTAGAAGAGTATATAAGTAGAAATGCTAAGATTAATCCAGATTGGGCTGGTTTGGGCTGATTTGGAAAATCAATTAGAGAGTGACATTTATATGAGATAAATGATTGCAAATGAAGATGAAATGTTAGCTTAGGATATGAAATTGTGATCTGGAGTTCATGGTAGAGTTTAGTGGAGTTTAAAAAAATGCTGATGTGTAGGGAATAAAACTGTGGGCTCCGAAAATTCGGCCCCGGCCTCCCCGCCGCTGCTATTTCTTTTTTATTCGGCGAGGGAGTTTTAACTGATAAGTTCCGGGGTAAATTTTGGAAGGCAGATGGGTTTGTAAATAAGACACTACCCAGAGATTTCATCCTCATTTTGCGAGGACTTTATGATCTGAGTTCTTGTTTCCTATAGGCGCAAGCCCCTATAGTTAATTACCCCTCCCGATCACGAGAGAGAACTTTCGATTA